AATTTGGCCACCCACCCAATCCAACCACCCTCCACCCACCCACCACCGTAACCCACCCTAACACCACCCCCGCCGTCACTCCAGACCCACCCTAACACTACCCCCCACCCACCACCGTTACCGTAACCCACCCCCACCCCACCACCATTACCGTAACCCACCCCCACCCCACCAACGTCAACCCAGACCCACCCTAACACCACCCCCGCACCCACCATAATTACCGTAACCCACCCCACCCCACCCCACCACCCACCGTAAATAAAAAAACCCAGACCCAAACCTTACCCCACCCCATCCACCACCGTCACTGTAAATAATAAAAACCCAGACCCATACCCCACCCCACCTACCACCATCACCCCACCCCACCCACCACCGTCACTGTAAAAAAAAAAAAAAACAGACCCAACCCCAACCACACCCACCACCGTCACCGTAACACACCCCACCCCATACAAAGAAATCGAAAAAAAAACCCAAACCCACCGTAACCCCACCCCACCCACCCCCACGAAACCCAACATCCTCGAAACCCCCCAACTCACTCTAATTGCTCACCCACCATAAAACTCCCTCCCTCCCTCGAAAAATCCTCCCTCCCCACCCACCCGAACCCAGTCTAACCGCCGCCGCACCCACCCTAACTCGGCCCCCTCCGTTGCCCACAACTTGAAAAAAAATTAAAAAGAAAAACAGAAAATAAAAAAAGGAAGAACGAAAACACCTTATATATTAATCCTGAATTTGGCCTCGAATTTGGTTTTAAAAGGCCAAATTCGATCATGAAACAACTAGATCTAGAGTTTCGTGGTCGAATTTGACCATAAAAACCGTCGTGCGTGGTGCCGGTGGACGGAGACGGAGAAACGAGATGGAAGAAAGGAGAACATAGACGGAAGAAGGGAGAAGAAGGAAGAAGAAGAAAGGAAGAAGGAAGAGGAGATGAGAGAGAAAATGAGAGAGCAGTGAGCATATTAGCAGCCATGGCTTCAAAAAATTGATAATATTATAGAAGAGGATTAAGAAAACGAGAAAGAAATCAAAAGGAGTACTAAAGAGACGATGGTAAGAGTGATCTGATTGGTGGAAAAGAAAACACACGGATCGTGAATTGGAATGTGTGCGATGATAGGCCGTTAGATGACATGCAAATCAATGGCTGATATTTAATATAAGACGGTGACACGGATCATGGAATAATGGATTTGGATAGTATGTTTCTTTTTATTCATAGCTACGTACTAATAAAAACACTACTGTACTCTTAACTTTATGTAACTTATAAATTGTAAGAAACACAAATGTTTGGAAATTGGAATTGATTCAATATGACATATTTAATGTATATTAGTTATATGTATATCAGTATATGTAATAAATAATAATGTATGGTACGATTGGTATCATACTATCATTGGTATGTATAGATAATCGATAAATGTATCTGATTATTAAAACTTAAAACAGTTGATGATCGATCTAATTGAATACTTCTACTTCCCCACCCGTTTTCTTTAACTTGCAAGTTGCAACATATATATGTTGCAGCCTTGTAGGCATGTAATCTTAAAAGGTGATTAGAGAGGGTAAGACAACAAAGTAATTCAGCAATATAACTTTAACACCAAAATTATGGAATAGTTACAAACAATTGTCAATTATTACTTTATTAGACTAATGGGAAATTGAATAATCGTGATTTTAATTAAACATCCAAATATAGTTCCGTAACATTAAATTATTAGTTTATTACAATATCAATTATCGATTTATCGTATTCAAAGTACCAATTCATCAAATCATGGTTATGACGCGATCTTTAAAACAATTAAAACAAGAAGCTGATAGCCTGATAATATTTGATAATGAAACAATAATACATTAATACCTTATAAATTTGTAATAGACTAATATTTAATAAACAAAAACAAGACTATAACCAAATTTGAAACATAACACATTAACATGATATAGAATGAATGAGAATTTCTGTAATTCTATATAATCTGATATCTGAATCGATTTATCGTATTCAAAGTAGCAACTCATCAAAACATGGTCATGACACGATATCTAAAACAATCCAACAAGAAGCTGATAACCTAATAATATATATTTAATAATGAAACAATAATACATTAATACATTATAAATTTGTAATAGACTAATATGATAATATCGAATAAACAACAACAAGAGTATAACCAAACTTGAAACATAACATATTAACATGATATAGAATAATTGAATAAATGAAGATTTGTGTAATTGTATATAATCCGATGTCTGAAAATAAAGTGACAAAGTCCCAACTTTATATAAAACGAAAATAGCTAACCGGTCAAAAATCTCTTAAAACCCAATTTCTACTCGATCCATTATTTTTTTCACCAACCTATGCCGACCCGCTAATGAAATGGAAATACTAGTCCCAACTTGATATAAAACAAAACGCGCTAACTGGTCAAAACCACTTTTTAGAACTCGATTTCAACCCGATCCAATTTAACCGATTACCAAACTAACCCGAACGATTTTAGCACCAAACCGAGTATAAACCGAACCGATATGAATCGAACTAGCATTAACCCGAGTAAACCCGCCCCTGAACCGACCCATTTCAAAATAATCCGTTCATGACCCGAACCGATATGAACCCGGACCGACGTTGACCCGGTAAAACCGCCCCTGAACCGATCCGTTTCAAACAGGTCAGATCATGACCCGAACCGTTTATAAACGGAACGGGCATTGACCCGGGTAAACCCGCCCCTGAACCGACCTGTTTCAAACCGACCCGATTATTAACCGAACCGTTTAAAAACCGAACCGGCATTGACCCGAGTAAATCCGCCCCTGAAGTGACCCGTTTCTAACCGATCTGATTATGACCCGAACTGTTTATAAACCGAACCGTTTATGACCCGAACCGAATTTAAATCGTACAAAAATAAACCGAAACCGAACCGACCTGTGACTAATCAAAACCGAACTGAACCAACCCGCTGTCTAAATGACACCGTTTTAACCCGAACCGTTTCAAACCAAAACCGTTTCAAACTGAGGTCAAACCGAACTGCCAGACCGAAGTCCCACCTCTAGTCTGCATAAATTATTACTTGAGAGGAAGATGAAGATATTGAAGGTGGGGTCGTGGGAAGTGGGGACACGTGAGAATTAAGGAAATTTTGGAAGCATTTTTGTTTTTTTATTATTTATTATTTTATTTTATTATTTCTGACAATTTGGTATTTTGTTCTAATTAAAATGTATTTTATTTATTTATTTTTTCGTATCCCCGTTTCTTAATATTTTAAAATATCCATTTCCCCGATTTTCCGTTTTTGTTTTTCCCGTTTCTGTGCAACCGAACTACAGAGTCTATAAGGGATGGATAGAGCATGACTCATGTCCCATCTCCTTTAGTTTTTTTTTTATTTTATTTTTATTTATTTTTTTGATGGGGACATGCACTTTACTACAAACACCTCCATCTTCATTTTTGCTAACTTCACTCACTCTTAATTTAAAAAAAATGACTCCATGTCTTATACCGGACCATCACGCGTCCAAAATCAACCCCCACGGCCACCGTTAAGACCACCACAACTAATGACTCATTCGACGATCCCATGGTAGATAATCTCAACAACCCAACTCCTCCGCCACCCTCCTCACCTACCTCCGGAACCCATGTCTAGACTTATTCTGCTTCGTTCAACATGCATCTACAGTCAATGGTTTGTTATAACAGATGCCTAATTAATTGAACAAACTAAGTCAACAGTCATTTCCGACTTCTTAGGCATGTCAATTGGCCATTTCTGCTCATTCTTAGCTAAGGCATGTCAATTGGTTGTTTCTGCTAACTCACTTGTTTTGCTTGCTGACTTGTTGACCATTTCCGACTAATTGACTATTTAACAACTTGGTCAAATAATACTCCCTCGGTTTTTTTTAATGCTCCATTAAATAACGGGTAGAGTTTGTATATAACAATACTCCCTCGGTTTTTTTTAAATGCTCCATTAAATTTTTTTTACACTATTCTCCTAATTTGGCCGACTTTTATCAATGTTTGTGTTTATAAATACTTGTTGAAATCGTCTTATCTTCATTCTGATTTATTCGTTCAACTTGTTCTAATTGATTTCACCTTATATATATATGTATATTGTCAATGGTTTTTATAAAACTAATCGGAAACATAAAAGTCCTTACGCATGTCAATTATTCTTTTCCGCTTGATTTCACCTTCTTAGGCATGTCAATTGGTTGTTTCTGCTGGCTGACTTTTAATTTGAACATTTTCGACTAGAAATTGTCACAGATTTCTTGGATTCAATTGCCACATCATCAATCCATCTTATTATGCTCCAACAAAATAAAAAGTGCCACTTCGACACCAAAACACAAGGTAAATTCACCTCCAATTGAATGTGATGAATTGATGATAAACATGAGCATATCCATAGATAAGTACATAATATAATGAACTAATGAGATATCATATATTATGTTTGATATTATCGTATTTTCTATTTATGTGAGGATATATTTAGCAAATATTATCTACAGTTATTTAGTTAATATCCTATTATTCTAGGATATCTTTGGATTTTAGAGGAGATCATTGTAAACAATATATATTCACGTTGAAATTAATGAGAATGACAAGTCATTCATTCTCTCTTTTACTAATTTATCATGGTATCAAATCTTATTATGAGTTGTTTTGTGATCTGGGTCATTATTATGGACAATTCACATTTGAGGGAGAGTGTTGAGCCTATGAGAAGGAACTACCCCCTTTATTGCTATATGATTTTGAGGTGGAGTCGTATAAAGTGGACGCTCGTGGCGGGTGTAGTCTAGGCCCGTTTGTCATGGTAGTAAAAAAAAAGGCCTAGAATGCATTTAGGAATAACTTTAAGTATTGGACAAATTATTTATTAAATACATAACACAAATTGCTTAATTCATAAGGATACCTAGATTACATATATTATTAATAAATATTTTTTTTTGACAAAGGATAAATATTATTAATATTAACATTAATCATAAAGACATAATGTTGTGCCAAATAATGGTTAATTTTCTACGTTCTCAAGCTTAGCATCATTTTCTTTCGAAGATGCATTTGACCAAAACCAATTGGTGAAGGCGTCAAGAGTATTGGCATCGGCTCTGTAGTGTTTCTGAGTGAACTCAACAACATCAGCCCATGTAAAATCTGGATACTTCCTTTGCTTATTCTCTAGTATTTCCGATGGTGGTGTAACGACTTTGTGGTCCGCCGGGCATAGGAAGAACGCCATTGTATTCCTCGCCACCTTCTCGTTCACTATTGCCCGGTGCAAACAACTCTTGTATTCCCCGTTCGTCATAGCCTGCATTTCATTTTAAGGTTACACACGTAGTTAATAAAAAAAAAAAAAAAAAAAATTACAGATTAGTTTTTGCATTGGTATTTTAAATTGACAAATGATACAAACATGTATAATATAATATATATGAGACGTTGATATTCTTAGACAAGTGCTAAACTTTATCCTGTGATTGATTTTTTACGTTGATTATAAATCAATGTAAAAGTAGTCAATTTGAATTATGTATAAGTTACATTATGCAATAAATGTGTGTGAATTGTAAGACTAGAATGCATTGCTTGTAATGTGCACTCAAGTCATCAAGTGTGAAGCACCTCGTGTATTTGCACAATTGTACATTCTTCTTTGAAGTCTACACATGTAAGATGCATGTTATAGATTATAGCAAGATTAACAACACACAAAAGCCTTTTAATTTGGGTGTACAATGCAATTTATTGACTAATTTACCCAGTCGTTTCTTCTTAATCCGTTTGGCAATATATACTCGATTTCTTACAGTTTTCAATTTATCTATAAAACTAAAAGTAAAAAAAATATAAAAAATTAATGAATCTAATAAATTTTCAATCACATTATAATTTTTTTTTACACAATCATCAAATATGTCCAGAACTTTTTTACTTTAAGGCGAATATCAAGAGTAAAACGACAAAAAAGAACGGATGAAATAGATTTCTCAAATCTACGCATACTATTGTTGGGGACAAACTCATGCTTGGATTTCCCTATCTATATATAATGAGGACAATATGTTCAATACCCCTATTTTAGAGGCAATAATTGTAGTCCAAAAGGCCAATATTTGTCTATGGTATGTCTTATTAAGAACAAAACAACATAATCATCCTGTTACCTAGGAGTCTACGAGAATGGTGATAAGAAACCGTACCATCAAGGTATCTCCAATGTTTATGACTAGTGCATCATTGCGAGGTTCGACTAAATGCCACTCGTTGTTGACAAACACTTCTAGACCTTCAATTTCATTTTGGTACAATAATGTTAAGGATGTCGGATCGCAATGCGGCCCTGTTCCTAGGACTAAACTTGGCTCCTCGCAAGGCGGGTAATGGTTCAATCGCATGATCGAGTTTGCATCCTTGTAGAAATCGCGGTAGTAGGATCGTTCTACTCCCAAACTGATAGCCATTAGTTCCAATATCACTAGGGATAGTTTTTGCATTTCGTTGCAATAGTTTTTGTAAACCGTCCTACAAAAGTATAAATAAAGGTCAACTTAAATCAGGTTATATAAATATATATATATGATATATGTCCCATACTAATTTCATTTACGTGAAAATATTAATAGAATAATTAAAATATGATAAAATAAATTAACACGCTTAAAATGTTTTTTTTGAAAGTCCATTCAAATTTATTATCATATGTGTGGACTGACTTAAAAATAAAGAATACAAAATTGATTATTCAAATAACAACTAATTTAAATTAAATAAATATCAAAACAGATTTGCTCTCCAAAAAATCTCCAAAAAAAAAAGAAATCTTTGATGATCTTCTCTCATTGGTAAAATATCATACCCTAACTCATTTCCATAATATGTACATTAATCAAAAATTAAAACATAAAATACATGAACAAATAATGCAATTACATTTAACATGACACTTATCTTTCTTACATCAGCAATTGATGATAAATCTCATTTAGACATTAGATAATTGAACTCCTACCACATAAATCACATGAACTTCAAAATTTTTGTTAGTCGGTACACTATTGTTTCATTAGTCCATGTTCAATTCATTTAAAAACTAATACTCTGTATTATTTAAAAATAATTTCACTTTACTATAAAAATAATTTTAATTTAGTAAAAATCAATAAATCTTAGAAAAAAATAATAATAGAGGATCAGTAAAAATAATTTTAATTCAGCAAAATAATTTAAATTCAGTAAAATTAATTTCCAGACAATAAAAATAAGGTAAAGTGAACTAGACATAAATCATTCCCAAGACTAGATCATGTATTAGCAACAATAATATTTATTACTCCCTCCTTCCCTAAATTACATTCCTGTTTCTAGCATTATTCCTCACATAATAGAGGAAAACAAGCATGTAATTAAGGGACGGAGGGAGTATTTACTTATTATGCGCTTACCCCATAGGCTCAAACTCGTTGCCTAACGCCGAGGTGAAGTAATCCACGACAGAATCGCCGTCGGACTTGGTACGGTGAGGGAAAGATAGCGTCTCTTTCCATGGTAAATTCGTCGTCAAACGATCAGCATGAGCCACGGACAAGCCCCATAACGAACCACGCATTTTCACGACCTTTGCCTTTTCTGAGGGTGGTAGACTAAAAAACTGACCAATGTTGTTGTAAGCCTCATTCAAGAGTTTTGGGTAAACCCCATGGTTAATCACTTGAAAAAAACCGTGATTCGCACAGGCTTCTTTGAGAGCTTCAGAAGCTTTTTTGGTGGCCGTTTCGTCTCCCCTAATAAAACCTTCAAGGTCAATAATTGGGGCGTCGAGTTTCTTTTTAGGTTGATTGATATCATCACTAAGAGACCAAATGAAATTTTTTGGGACATTGGTAGTTTGTTTTTGCATCATGGAATTTTTCTTTTGGGATGGTTGATTCCATGGTGTGACAAAGCTAGTAAGAATGGAGACACTTGAATCCATTGTTTAATGTTTAATAATGAGTTGTATAACAACAAAATTGAATGAATGAAAGTGTTGGACAATTGGAGGTATTTATAGGGAGATACAAAGTTGTAACTTAAGGTGATTTGGGCTGGTAAAAAAAATAAAAATAAAAAAAAAATCCTAATAATAGGATTATTGTTAGGATTTTGAATGGGATTTACACGTAAGTCTAGCTATATCAGACAAGATATTGCCTAGACATTATCTTACTTGATCTCTCTTTACTTTATTTTTACTAAATTGAAATTATTTTTACTTATCTAAATTCATTTTTTGTTGTACTTAAATTTTTTTTGTTGATTAAAACTTATTTTAACAAATTTTCTATTATATTTGTTTTTCAAAATTATGATTTTTGCAGATTAAAATTTATTTTTATTGAACTAATCCTACTTTTGCTAATTAAATTAAATTAAAATTATTTTTACGAAATATTATTTGAATAAGGCATTGAAAATAGGGCCTTAGTTCAACAATAAGGTGATTTTATTTTCATTTTTTATATATAATTTAAAACAAATCAATAAGGTCTTGTTCTCTTCAGCTAACTCTGGTTGAGCTTAAATTTTTTTACTGAAACAAAATGATTTATATTGATTAATATTTATATATTTTCTTTAAATTTACTGATTTTTACTGATTAAATTAAAACTTATTTTACTAAGATTTTCTTTAATTTATTCAAATAATATTCAGTAAAAATAATTGAAGTTCAGTATAATAATTTTATTTTAGTAAAAATAAGTTTTAATCATTACAAAGTAGTAACTTTAAAGAACAAATATAATAGAAAAAAAAAATTCAGTTCAACAAAAAATTAAGTGTAAAGAATATAATAAAGCCTAATTAAACATACCTTAGTAATGTTTTATGAACTTAATTTTAATTACATATCATTTGAATATGGTGAAGTGAACCAGGCCTAATCATATTATGATGTCATTTGCTTAATTGTTAAACATTGTGATTTTCCATACATAATAATAATAAAAAAATGATTATTTGTCAATCTTAATTTAGGAAATAAATCATCTATATTAGGTAAACAAACTAATTGCATTATAACTGTGATTCTATCTAGAATTAAATGGACACTTGGACACCTATGAGAGATTCTTAACCCCTAATTCATTTAGTTGAGTCATCAATGACTAAATAAAATTTGTATTGAGCGGTAGGCAAAAGCTACACATATAACTGTTGTATGTGCACTACAAGAAAAAGGTTAAATACCGATGGAAGTTTTCCCTTGCAAAAAGGCCAATTTCCGTCGCAAACAGCATTTCCGACGGAATTCCGTCGTAACGTTCCGTCGCAAAACCTTTCGTAGGAAAAAAAAGAATTTCCGAGGGAAATTTCGTCGGAAATGTCTTTTACGACGGAAATACCGACGGAATATCTTCCGTCGCAAGAAAATCTGACTTTCAAGTATCATCCGTCGCAGATTTACGACGGAAAATTCCCTCGCCAAAATTCAGAATTTGCGACGGAATTGTATTTCGTCGGAAAATTCCCTTGCTAAAATATTATTTGCGACGGAAAAATCCCTTGCAAAAAGATTATTTGCGACGGAAAAATCCCTCGCAATATTCCGACGGAATTTAAATCCCTCGCAAACTTTCAACTTTTGCGAGGGAAGTTTCCGTCGTTAAGGATTATGTGGAATGTTCTTCATTTTTCCGTCGCAAATCAATTCGCCAAACTAAATATTAATTATAACCATCGCATAATATAATTCACAAAGCCAAAATTCTAGTTGTCCAGCATTAATAAACTATGTTCCTGCACCTAATATCTGTGAAAATTAAAATCATAAACCAATTTCGGAAATATAAATATATATATTCCACAAAAGCTATTCTGAAGTTAAACATATCCAAAAGCTACATAATATATAGTAATTCTACAAAAGTAGGAAAATCATCAAACGCTACATAAATTCTAATTAACTACTTGTCCGTACTACATAAACCTAAGCTAGGCTAAAAAACTGCAGGGGTACCCTGGCTTGCTCCTCCACTACCCGGGTCATCCCTAGGGTCTCGTCGCTGAGGCTGAATGGTGGAACATGTGTCGTTGCCAAATCGTCTCATGAAGTCATTCCACCTCTCCTCGACTCTCCTTTCCATTTGGGCTACTTCAGCTTGAATTTGGGAGGAAAAAAGAGAGGAAAAGTATTATGAGGGGCCCACATGATGTCATAAGGTGGTTGAGAAGCTAAGAAATTTTGGTGTTTCAGAAAAAAGTAGGAGGTAATTTAAAAAAAAAATAATAATAGTAGGTGGTAATTGCTAAAATGAAAACATTAGTAAGTGCTAATTATAAAAAAAAAAAAAAAAAAATTTAATTTTTTTTAACCTATAGATACTGACACGTGTACAATGTGGGGGTCCGCTAACGGTTTTTTAGATGGCGTTAGTAAGCGGTGGAGAAATCCAATTTTTTAGTTTTTTTATGGTGTTATAATCAAAATTTTAAATTTTGTGGTGTTATAATCAAATTTGTGGAAATTTTGTGGTGTTATATTTTTAAAAATCCTAAATTTAATTCATCAAATATTCTTTAAAAAAAAACTTTTTTTTTTTTTTGCTCATCTTTTCATTTGGGTTGTTCATCTTCTCCATTGATGTTCATCATTCATGTTGCTATTCATCCATCATTCTCCATTGAAGCTTTATTTTTTATTTTTTTTCAGCAAATACTTGTCTCCTTCTCAATGTCGAATTCAAATATGTCGCCTTGTTTTAGATTTATTCCTATATAAACCCAAAACAAATTTAATATCTTTCAATTTTTTTTTTGACAATCAATATTTTTCAAATTAATCCATCTTAAAATTTTCAAATAATGTTTGGTTTCATATTCTTCATTTATATAATTCAATGAATTTAATATTCCAAAGGAAAAATACAGTTTAATAATTCCAACTATGGGCGATTTACTTTAAATAATCCAAACTAAAGATTATTATTTAATAATCCCAACTTTGGGGGTAGTTTGCCTTCAATAGTCCCAACCAGTCAACAACAGGTCAATGACCTATTATAACAGATGACCATGACATGTGTCAACACGTGAATGGTCCAAATTTTTTTTAAAAACCTAAAAAAAAACTGTAATTTAATTTAAAAAAAATAAAAAATAAAAAGGAGCTCCTTAGGGATGGCAGTGGGTCGGGTTAAATGGGAGGCCCTCCCCACGATGGAGGGAGGTTTGGCGGGTGATGGGGCGAGGATGGGTATAAAATGTGTACCCGCCATGGGTGATGGGGTGGGTATGGATTTTAGAGTAGACTCGCCACATATCCGCCCCGCCCCATACCCATCTTATACCCGCACCATATTTATTTTAAAAGAGTTTAGAATTTATGAAACTTGATACCCTCTAAAACCCAATAAGCTTGAATAATGAAAATCCCAATTTTCTTAACCTAATTTTATATAATTGTCATTAATGTGATACAATAGAGCATCATGGCAATGGGTTTGGGACGGTTTTGGGGCGGGTATGAGGTGGGTATGAATATCCAAGTGGGTGATGAGGCGGGGACGGGTCTATCTTGTACCCGGTGGGGCGAGTATGGATGTGGATATTCACTACTAGAAAACGGCTTAATACCGACGGAATTTTCACGACGGACCTATTTTTCCGTCGCAAACTTTAATTTCAGCGACGGAATTAAGTTTGTTGCTAAAATGCGTCGGAAAATATGATTTGCAACGGAAATTCCCTCGTTAAATTTGCGACGAAATTTATTTCTGTCGGAAAATTATATTTCCGACAAAAAATTCCGTAGCAAAATTAATTGCGACGGAATTTTCCGTAGGAAAAAATTTACCAACAGAAATAAATTCCGTCGCAAAAATTTTAACTAGAAATTAGGTTTGTAAACCAGAAAGAACAAGGAAAAAAACGGGGGAAGAGAGGGAAAGAAAGAAAGAAAGGGAGAAAGAGAGAAAGAGGAAGAGGATAATTTTTGTATAATTTTTTTTATTTTTATGTTTTAATTTTTATTTTTTTGATTTAACCCTTACTACCACCAACACCCCTTTTTTCAGGTTCCTCCACCGTTCCGCCTCCTACCAGAACCACCACCACCTTCATCCTCCCGCCGATAAATTATCAAACATAATTTTACCTTTTTTCATTTTTTTAAAATAAAAATTGACATTTTACACCTTAAATAATGTTTAATTGTTATTATTTGTAGGATTTGTATCTTTTCCTTGCTTTGAATCTCAATAAAAAGTGCAGATCTATAGGTTCGTGACATTCTAATTTCTAAAATTTTTATTTTAGTTTATACCTGGCATGTTAGTGACTTAGATAAATGTTAGTTTAGTTTGCTTTGGTTTTATTATAATAAATAATAATGGTTGATATGTTAGTTAAGTTTAATTTGGTTTGTTTTTTTATAATAATGTAAGACATGACATGTTAATTTTGTTTGGTTTATTATAATAATAATGTATGACATGATATGTTAGTATAGGTTGATATTTTATTATAATAATGTACCGCATGACATGTTAGTTTACATTGATTTAGTTTATTATAATAATGTATGTTAGTTTAGTTTAATTTATTATTATTTAATAATGTATGTTAGTTTTGTTTAGTTTAATATAATGTATGTTAGTTTAATTTAATGTATGTTAGTTAATTTAGTAAAAAATATTTATTTTATATAATTTTAAATGTAATGATTACTATATAATTGTTTATATCAATTTAATTACGAATACTAGTTGTTTATATATGATTGTTTATAGGAAAATTTGATTTTTTCTACCTATCAAACACATCGAATTGAATTTTTCTACCTATCAAAACTTTAATTTTATTTTACTACCTAACATATGCCCTCTGTTTAAAAATTGCTACCACTAGCTAAATTCTGTTACTGTTGACGTTAAGGGGGCCCACTCCAACGTCTATTTCCCCTTCCCCTTCTATTTAGTTGAATTGTACCAACGTAATTGCTCCAAACTTCATTATCTTCATAGCGATTTGTTGAGGGATTAATAATTAAAATCTGAAGCAATTTTTTTTTAAAAGATTAAATTGGTGAGGGATGTTGATCAGTAGTGGTTGCTGTGCTCTGAAATTTAAGGTTAGTAGCTTAAATTTTTGCAATTAATTAGTTTATGCGACACTTAGGGGAAGTTTGAATTGCGATTTATTTTAAAATTTGTACCTGTGAATTGTTTTTGTTAGTGTTTGGGAATGATATTAAAGCTTAATTTGATTTGGAAATGGTTTAATTGGTTGTTAATTGCATTTATGTTTCTGGGAATTAATTAGGGTTCATGTATTTTGAAATTGGGGGTTTTTAATTGTGAGTTGAATGTTTAAATTGATGTTTTATTTTCATTCAAAACCTATGTATGACTGTAATTATTGATATACCTGACGTAATTGCAGGCTATAATGGCAATGGTTAGGTTCTCTCCATCAAAACAGAGGAAATGTGACTGTGGAATCCCTATGGGCAAGCTGACATCATGGACAAGAGATAATCCTGGTAGGAAGTTTAAAGCTTGCAAATTTTATGATCCTAAGACTGAAACAAGGGGATGCAAGTGCTTTGAGTGGGTTGATGAGGAAGATGGAACTGAGTGGCAACGCGACGTAATCAATCAACTCCTTTTGGATAAAAAACTAATGAAGGGAGAGATCAACACACTGCAATCAGAACTTGAAAATTTAAAATGCCAAAGGAGGTGTTTGCTAAATGAGAATGACAACCTGTCATTGAAGTGCAAAGCTCTAAGTTCTGAAAGAAGGAATTACAACAAGGAAGGGCAGCATATTTGTCTTGGTGGTTGTAGAAATGTAGTAGCAAGTTTGATGTGTCTTTTGTTACTGATTGTTGTTGTTTTAGTTGTATTGAAATGAGACTAGGGTAGTGAAGTGTTAGAGTGGGTATGCATTAGTATGTATGAAGGAATGTATGAACTTGTGAATGTAATGTAATGAATTTGAATGAAATAAAGCTGAAATGCTATTATATTTCATGGCTAGCAAAATATGAACTAATAAAATAGGCTTTCTTTGCCCATTGCATAATAAGCACAGAAAAGAGTTAGCCAAATACTATATTTCATAGCTAGCAAAATAAGCACACAACAGTGCATCCAAAATACCAAGTTTCCACATTGCACAAAAGTCTAACAAACTAATTGTTCCTTAGTTGCTAAATATTACAGTACAGTTGAAAGAGTTAAGAGTTAATAATTGTTTTGGCACTATGATTAACCCCACCAAAAAAAAAAAAAAAAATAAATAAAAATTGGAGCCTAAGTCTTCTGTTTCTTCCCCTTTCCTTTCTTCAGTGTCTGTTGCTGTGGTACTGTTGTTGTTGTTGATGCCTGTGATGCTTGGGTGCAGGCTGCATGATCTTGAGACCTTGTTTGCAGTCAGTTAGCTCAACCTCATATGAGTCTCCTCTTGAGACTTGCACTATACAGTGCCTTGCAATCCTCTCAATCCTTTCAAAAAATTTATTCACATAAGGAACCAATTTCCCATCCATTTTTTGTACAGCCTCCCATTTCTCATTATGTCTCTTCATCATATACCTTCTTAACCACTCCATTTGAGTGAGTATTGGCTTGTCCCTAGCATCTCTAATGACAGCATTGAATGTAATACCCGAGATTTTAAAACCTGATTTATTATACGCTAATATTTATTTTATTAGCTTAATTAAAGTTTTGTCTCTGTTTTAACAAGAACGAATGTTTTAATCTTGAATTTTATTTTAATATTATATTATTTCAGATGCTAATTTTAAGGAAAGTAAATTATTATTTTACAGCTTATTTCCGATCAGTAAAATGTTTAAAGATTTGTATCAAAATATGTATTTTTATCCGAGAAAATAAAATGACCAAAATACCCTTATTCATACAAAAGGACAAAACCCACCTCTTTCCGCCCCTTTTTCTTCACAATTAAGTATTGAAGGCCTTATACTTGCTGTTAATTTTATATGCCCAAATCAATCAAAGTTAATTTATTAATTTGAGCCCAATTAAGAGCTTATCCCCATGGAACAAAAGACAAAAAGGCACCTCTTAACTCCCTTCTTCCTTCACGGTTAAGTATTGAAGAGGTGAAGTCAAAATTTTGCTTCTCAATATTGTGTTAATCACATACTACTTAAATCTTATCCTATCAGTTCACTTGTTCTCTTTTAAGTGTATAACAACAAACAAGTTATACTCCATGATCTCCTATTTGGGCAAGGCAACGCCACCACCACTACCACAATTCAATCATCTCCACCGTACCCTTCCCCTGCTCTAAGTTGCTACTCTCATGCACCGACCCAGCTCGCGCAACCACCTGGTTCACGCCCTTCTTCTTCCTCCTCCATTTATAGCTTGTTCCATAGAAAAACCCACTACTCCATTTGTGCAAGTCAAAGTGAGTATTTTACTCTTCCCCAATATAATTTTGAGTATAAGTTTAACTTTTATTTAGATTTATTCTCACTTTCTTTGAAAATGATTATGTATACATTTTGGTGATTAGATATTGATAGTGTATATAGTATTATGATGGAAAACTTATTTTGCTTAACATAGATATAATAGCTTTGTTTTTACTACTGCTATGTACTGGTATATTCATGAGATATAGATAAGTATTCATTTCTTGTTATTAAAAAGAATAAGAGTAGTAACGTAGTACCTATAGTTTTCTAAGTAGTTGTATAAGCATATTACGTAAAAAGGTTATACCTTGTCATTTCTTAAAATGAATTTTTGTTGATCATTTGTTTATAAATCCTACAATGCTATGTATTTTCAAACAAGATAGTAAACCTTTTTTAAAAAAAAAGAGCTTTAAAATGAGTGAATTATTATATATCTATCAATTTCCCTACTAATACTATAATTTTAACTTTTGTTATATAAAAGAAGAATCGAACCTCAGAGCTCAGTGAGAACGATAGAATAAAGGCTAACAGGAAGGTTATCAGACTGTAAATCGAGGTAACGGCTATTGCTAGTAACCGCAATTCCCTTCAAAATGTGTTTATAAAAGCATGATGTCAATTTTGAAAGTTAATTATATCTCTGGATTTATTGACTTGCGGGATGATGAATGTGTTTATTAATGTACTCCAGTCTAATGATTTATATGAATGATTTTATTGATAAACGTTGTTTTATTGATCTTTGGATCTTACGAAAGTATGTCATGAATCTATGAATGACTTATGTAAAAGTTACACAACATGATAAATAACAGTGAAAAACCTAGTCCGTCTGGCAGTATATGTTTACAGGTTACTTTTCGGTCATGCATGTACCCATGGGGCATTAGCCCAGCTATGTCGAGCATCTGCTCTATGTTATGGGCACCGGCCCATCGCGGAAGACGTTCCGCCATGTCATACTTGCCAGCGACTAGCATGTTAATATGAACGTTATATATATATCATTATATGAATTTTATTAAATGTTTTAAGATACTCTATTCTCCCTGTTTTGTTAACTAAAATGAATTGAAATGATGTTACACTACTAGAGTAGTTCGTTACTGAGTCTTCGGCTCACCCGTTTTTTATGTTTTTATGTTTTAGGTACTGCTGGGGATGATGGAGACGAGTAGTAGCGAGGATTTTACTTTCAGTTATCACTTAATAGTAGTTATAGTTTTAATTTGTTTAATTTGAATAGTAAGACTAAGCTACTTAGTAAAGTTTGAGATAAGATAGGATTTTCTATTATAAAAATTAAGAATAATGTTTGTTATAAATAGATTACTATGTTTTATAAATCAAGTTTGTTAATTAAGTATGTTTGTTGCCTTGTAAATCTCGTGAGGGATTTACGGCAGTGACGTCCCGACCGTGTTAGGTTAATTCCGCTGCTAAGATTATCTTAATAATTGAATTAGAGGTTGGGGTGTTACAATGTGGTATCAGAGCAACGGTTCCTGTGAAACCCTACTGGTTTTACATTTATATATAAAGTTGATTAGATTTTTAGAATAAGATCACTAGCTAATAAAATATGTTTTAAATATATATATATATATATATATATATATATATATATATATATATATATATATATATATATATATATATATAGAGAGAGAGAGAGAGAGAGAGAGAGAGAATTGAGTGTGAGTGTAGGAACGGGATAAAGGGGTTTATTTTTCCATTCTTAGTTTTCTTTATCACATTTGATGTGCAGAATGGCAAGTTACAAGGGAACTACCGATGCCTCCAAAGAAACCCATAACGATGTTTTTATAAGAAATGAAATGGTCCACGAAGAAAACGTCCATGAGGAAAACAACAAGGAGCAACCCTTGGAGGAGTACGAAGAAAGAATGGGACGACTCGAGAATGTGAGTACGTTGTTAGCTGAACTAGTTCAAGATTCTAGGAAAAAGAAATATACAAATGAGGAAGATAGTGCGTCAATGTTTAAAAAGTTTTCATCCCTTAACCCACCATCATATGATGGTAAGCCTGATCCAGTCGAGTTTGAAGATTGGATTAACCGGATGGATCAGTTGTTCGAGACCTTGCGATGTCCTGAAAGAATGAAAGTTGATTTTGCTACATTTTATCTCACCAGTCAAGCAAGTTTATGGTGGAAGGTCAACAAGGAAAGTAAGAATGAGTCTGGATTTAGTTGGACCAAACACCAAGAGTTGATGCGAGATAGGTTTTATCCATTGTCTTTGAGGAGACAAAAAGAAGATAAATTCCTCCACTTGCAACAAGGAACCATGAGTGTGTTGGATTACGCAAACAAATTCATGGAGTTATCAAGGTTTGCACCAGAATTAGTATCAACGGAACAATCTAGGATGAATCGTTTCGAACGAGGTCTCCATTTGAAATATCAGGACAGACTATCATCTCAACAATTTACTTCTTATCAAGATATGGTTGATGTAGCAGTTAATGTGGAAAGGGTTGTATTACTTCGAGAGGCACAAAATGTTGGCTATAAAAGGAGGAATGATAACCAAAACCAAGGAGGAACAAAGAGGCAAAACCAAAGTCAACAAGGGGGTTACTCTGGTAATAGAGGACAAGGTCAGCAAGGAGGGAACAAAAATCAGAATAATAGATCTCAAGTAGTGTGTGCTAAATGTGGAAGGAGAAGCCATACTGAGAATGAATGTCGTGTCGGTACCAATACTTGCTACCGATGTGAGAGTCCTAGTCATTATATTAAGGATTGTCCTAAGTTCATAACATTTACACCAATTTCAAAGGGACCTGCTCCATCTGGTGCAGATCGAGGAAGGAACAACACAGGAGGCACAAACCGAAATCTACCTCGACCACCCACAAATGGAAGAGTTTATGTGATGAGACAGGATGAGGCAGATAATTATGACACGGTGATCACTGGTACTTTCTCTATCCATTCTTCACATGCTCATGTTCTCTTTGACTCTGGAGCATCACATTCTTTTATTTCCCCAATATTCGCCAATAGTTTGCAATTGAAACCATATTATGACTTTCTTGGCATAAGTGTTTCCCTCCCTACTGGAGAAACCGTAAAATGTGGAACCATGTATAGAGACTGTCCAATTATTTTAGAGGGAGTCGAATTCCCAGCTAATTTGATAGCTTTTGACTTATCTGAGTTTGACATAATTTTGGGTATGGATTGGTTAACTAAGCATGAGGCCAAAATTGATTGTGTTGAGCAAAGTTTAACCCTTAAGGCTCCAAATGGAGAAAGGATATCCTATCAAAAGTTTGAAAGAAAACCAAAGATCCAAATAGTCTCTGCTTTGAAAGCTCACCGGATTGATAAGAGGATATGTGGTTATCTTTGTAGTGTGGTTGACTTAAACCCATCTGAATCATTAGTAACTAACATTCCTATAGTTTGTGAGTACCCAGAAGTCTTTCTAGAAGAGATACCTGGCATGCCACCACCAAGAGAATTAGACTTTACCATCAAGTTAATTCCAGGATCGACTCCTATTTCTAAAGCACCATATAGGATGGCACCAACTGAATTACAAGAATTAAAGAAACAATTAGATGAGTTGCTTGAGAAAGGATACATTCGACCGAGTGTGTCACCTTGGGGAGCCCCAGTCTTGTTTGTGAAGAAAAAGGATGGAAGTTTGAGGTTATGTGTCGATTATAGGGAGCTAAACAAGATCACAATCAAGAACAAATACCCTTTACCTCGTATTGATGATTTATTTAACCAACTTCGAGGTGCAAAAGTATTCTCAAAGATTGATTTGAGGTCTGGATATCACCAACTCCGCATTAAATCTGAAGATGTTCCAAAAACTGCCTTTAGAACGCGATATGGTCATTATGAGTTTGTTATAATGCCATTTGGGTTAACTAATGCACCAGCGGTGTTTATGGATTTGATGAACCATATTTTTAAACCATACCTCGATAAGTTTGTTGTTGTTTTTATTGATGACATTTTGGTGTATTCCAAGAATAATGAGGAACATGAGGAACATTTTTTTCTGGGTTTTTTTTTTTCTTTTTTTTTCTGGGTTTTAGTTTTCTGGGTTATTTTTCTGGGTTTTTTTTTAATTTTTGGGTTTTGTTTATATTTTTGTGTGTTTTTTCTGGGTTTATTTAACCGATTTAAATCGATTTATGGGTACCATGCATACTGTTCTGGTTTTTATTTTTATTTCGCAGCTTATTTATTTTATTTAATCGATTTTTGTTTGATGCAGGTATATTATTTAGATGTAGATGTTAAATCGAAGAATAAAGATGCTGCATTATTGATTTAGGTGTTATATGGGTTATTTTTTAATTTTAATGTTGTAATTTTTTTTTGGTTTTTTATTGTAATTTTTTTTTTATTTTAATGTTGGAATTTTAGTCTTGTGTAATTTGATTAATTTAGTTCTTTTAAATTGGACTTGTTGTATGAGTAATTTAGTTGTAGTTATTAATTTAGTTTTTTCACTCTTAAAAAGTGTACAATTACTAGATACTGATGAATATATATATATATATATATATATATATATATATATATATATATATATATATATATATATATATATATATATATATATATATATAGTTTCTACTACAATTTATGTGAAATAAATGCAAATTTTTTTTTTTGTTTTTTTATTGGCATTATTGCCACCGGTTAACCGGTGGCAATACTTGTTAATACCATTAAAAAAAAATTGCGGGAAGCATTATTGCCACCGGTTAACCGGTGGCAATATTTGTTTTTGCCACCGGTTTTGAACCGGTGGCTTTTTAATAAGATTATTGCCACCCCCCAAATGGCCACCGATTCAAAACTGGTGGCATAGGGGGGTTTTGAACCGGTGGCCAATTCATATTTTCGTCTAGTGTTAGGTTCAATGTTATCTAAGTACACAAAGGCATCTTCAGATAGGAACCTAATTGATTCCATTGCTATTTCAAAGTCAATCTAGCAAAACAAACACACAAAACTAGCAGGAATGAATGACTGACTGAACTAACTACTCTCACATCAAACTAACTGAAAACAGTCACATAACAAAGAAAACCACAAAGACAAACAATGCAAAGCTCAATCATAGTCATCTATTTAAAACAGTAACATCAAAAAAGAAAGAAAACAAAAAGGAACCAAACTCACAGCTGTGGTAGCCCTTGCTCACTCCAGAACAACTCTTTGAAGGTTGAGCCTGTGAATTGAAGCTTAAAGTTGGCCCAGATATGCCTCACACAGTACCTCTTCTCAGCTAAAGGTACTGCCAACTCAAATGCTTCAAGTAGGCCCTGTTTTCCAATAAACCACTTACACTTATTAGATTAAACATAGTTAGAATTCAAATAAAAAAAAGGAAATATTGTAGTTAGCAATCACCTTTTGTCTGTCAGACATGAATGTCCAACCACCACCTTCACATACATCACCAAGGTCCTTTTTCAGACACTCTAAGAACCAACACCAAGTCTTTTTATTCTCCACTTCAACTGTAGCCCATGCCAATGGGTAGATGTTGTTATTTCCATCTTTGCCCACTACCACTAGAATTTGACCTGGGTATGCTCCCTTCAGATGGTAGCCATCAACTCCTATCAGAGGTCTGCAGCCTTTAATAAACCCACTTCTTAGTGGCTGGAGACAAATGTACATCCTCAAAAACAATGGTCTCTCAGGGCTGCTGTGATCACCATCAACAACTATGTTCACCCCAGAAGCAGGGTTGTACTTGATTACAGCCTTTCCATAATCATACACTCTGGCATATTGCTCTGCAGCTGACCCATAAATCTTCAGCTTAGCTCTAGCCCTAGCAAGCCACCCCTTTGAATAAGTGATGTTAATACCTAAGTCACTAAGCACCCTAGCCTGTAAAGATTTGATTTTCCAGCTAGGATTGTGCCTCCATTCCTCAACATACCTTTCAGCAATGTACTCAGCATTTACCTTGGAGTTCATCTTACTCCTCATACACCTATGCTTCAGAATCAATTCCTTGATTTTCCAAGCACTGCTGTTATGCAGTCTTCTAGCTATCACCTTAAAGGGGCACCTTTTCACCTCCTCACCACACTTGCAATTTCCTGGCAGATTGCTTCTCTTGGCATTCCACTCACAATTACACCTTTTTTTGCAATATGTTGTTACCCTTTCACCCCCATTATGCAGATAGTAATACTCATATCTGTTCTTTATTGCATGTGTCCTCAAGGCTTTCCTAAGTACCCTACTGTTAGTGAACTGCAGCTTGTTCACAAGCACAACTGGTTTTTTGAAATCAGTTTCTTCATGAAACCATGGACTTTGATCCTCATCTTCATCTGACCCATTCAAGCTTCTAAGCTCATCTGACTCAGACCCCTCATCCTCCAAATC